CGTAGCCCCGAAGTAGAACCACCACGGAGAAGGGGTCGCCAGGCAGCCGCACGGGGGGCTCCCCGCGGAGCGGCTCGGTCCGCACCACACGGCTCATGGCCGGAGAAAGCGGGGGTGTGGGCCAACGTCTGGGCCCTCCGGGTTCCCACACTCGCCGGAGCTTCCGCTAAGTGGCACCTCCAAGTCTCAGTCCTACCGCCCCCTCTCTTAAAGTGGTATCGCCTCAGCCCCCTTCCGTGGATGGTCTCGCCCAACCTTTTCTTCCACGTGAAGCAGCGCGTCCTTCAGTGTCTTCGGGGGGGCCCCCGCCTTGCCACCCTCTCGTGGTAGGTCCACACTCGTCACCCTCCCAAGGAGGTCCTTTTTAGTTCCTTCTCTATAACCTACGCCGCTCTCTGCCTTGGACCCAGTTTTACGCCTTTAAGGTTCTAAGGGAAGAATGGAAAGCGGAAAAACGCGAAGGATTTTGTCCGCTGCGAGCTCCCATAAGCCCAAATATGGCGGCCGAGACGGCACCGCCCGCGGCATTGTAACGCGGCCGCGTTCTCCGGCGTGCGCGGACCCGGACCCCGGCCCAAACGCCGTCCTCGGCCTGGGATCCCTGCCACCTGCCTTGGGCTGCAGCATTACCGAGCACCATTAGCTTCTAACGTGACGGCAGCCAGCAGCCCTGTTCGCTGGGCGGGGCGCTGCCACATCAGCCAGCTAGGATGTGTGCACAGGAGTTGCTGGAAATGTTGGTTGCAGCCGATACTTTTAAAAAAAGAAAGCTTCCTAACGATATAGAAAATTTGGCACCTGTGAAATTATGTGGCGGGCCATCGGTGGAATTAATATAAAGTAGACTAAGTGCCTACTCCGCCTAACTTATCAGCATCACCCCATCCCCATCCAGCGCTCCCTCCGCGGTCACATCAGTTGGCACGTAGCCTTCGGCGGTGTATGTAAGTCGCAGAGAATGCCCTCTGGCTTCATCCTTGTAAGGGTCTAAACAAGGCCAAGTGACGTCCCCAAGGCCCCCAACTCCTATGCCATTGCTGACCTCTGGGTGGGGTTGAAGTAGTAGAGATAATTAAAGGGGAAAGCCTTCAAAGTCGTCTCCACACCTACAGCTAAGGGAGCTAGATGGCAGGCAGAGGGCTCATCCGTTGGGGTAGGGCTTCCACCTACTGCTCACACCTTTCTCCCCATAGCTATGCCATGCTGTACCATCAGGATTCTGCCTGAGACCAGATGGGAGAGAACAACTACAAGCTTAGGGGTGACACACACACACACACACACACACACACACACCCCTTCAGAGGGCTCTCCATGACCCCTGCCCTTCCTGGGGACTCAAAAACAAGGGTCAAAGGTCCTCTGGGTCATGCTTGGGGTGGCCTGGTGCGCTAGTCATCTCTTCTTCCTTTTCCTTCTCCTCTTGATCTTGCTCCTCCTCCCCTTCTGTCTTCTCTTGCCCTTCTGTGATCTCCTTTCCAGTCCAAGTTTCCTGTAGACATGCTACGTTGGGTGATAGAAAACAAGTTAGATGTTGGTCCTGGGGGTAGGGGATGTTGTGGCCTGGCAGGGAAGGGACCAGCCCACACACTTACCAGTTTCAGAAGCTGGGAGCACATGACCTTCACAGAGAAAATGCTGCAGGGACTGCTCCTGATGGTGGAAGTACCAGTCTTCCACGACTTCTTCAAACTCCTCCAGCATTTTCTCACACTGGTCAAGTGGAAGGGTCAGAAGAGTATCTGCTCTGCTGGGCTTTGGGGACCTTCCTCTGCTCTTTACTACCTGTCTCCCCACCCCACCTTGGAGAGGCGGATAGCCAGGAGTTTAAACGTGGCTTACTAGCTGTGTGATCCGCACTCATTCAACAAACATTTACTAACACCTCCTCTACTGAGTAGGTTATTAAACTCTTAAGTTTCGGTTCCTTGTCTGTAAGATGGGAAATGGTAATCCGGTGGTTGTGAGGGCAAAATGAGGCAGCAGCTGAAACGTATATGGCTCCAAACTTGCACATGGTTGGTACTCAGTAAGTGGTAATGCATATTATTAGTCTCCATTATTACTTCTTGACATGCTCCGGGTGCATGTCAATCAATGACAGTCCTCACTCTGCCCCCTTCTCCCTGCTCAGAGGTAGACCTCCCTAGGATCTAGTTCCCCTTTCAGGTTCCCTTCTCACCTCCCTGGGCTGTATCCTAACCTACCTGCTTCTTGAGGAATGTGACCTCCACACTGGGCTCGTCCCACAGCTCCAGAGGGATCCCCAGATCCACCTTTACCCCCTTCTGCACCAGGCCTTTCAGCGTTGCCATGGTCTGACTCTGCCCCTGTGAGATGGGAATTTGGGATCAGCCCAGCCCACTACCTCAGCTTCTTCCTTTCCCTTCCCACCATATCAGTTTTGTCAAGCACCAGAGTCTGAAGGGTAAGTTCCGTGAGGGTGAGATGTGGGAGTCTAAAGATGAGGAGGGGACACTGAAAGGCTAGAGAAGGGAGGCTCCAGAGGATATAGGCCTGAGCAGTGTGATCCTGCCCCGGGAGGAGTCTGACCTTGGCATATCTCAGTGAGCCCTTGCGCTCAGCGTGAACACTGTAATCCAGAACTTGCTCACATAAATTCTCCAAGGCCTCTTCTAGCCTTGTCTCTCTGTGGGAAGAGGGGAAACAAAGACTCCTTGAATAGTGTATGAGCTCCCAGAGCTCTTTCGGGGGGTTGAAAGGTGGAGGAGCATCAAGGACTCACGAAACGCTGTAAGGGATGTGTCTTTTCCTCTTGCCCGTGTCCAGCACCTGCCCCAACTCCAGCACCTCTCGAGATCGTCCAGTGCGACTCAGCTGTTCCTGTAGCTCCAGACTCAGCAGCTTACACACTAGATGTCCAAAGGGACATGAGAGATAAACAAACATGCCAGCAACTCATTCTGCAGATGAGCAAAAGCAGCAGAGCATGATGGTTTCAAAGGCAGACTCTGGAGCCAGCCTGGTTTACAATCCTGACTCAGCCACTCAGTAAGCTGTGTAGCCATCTGCTCTGCCTTGGTTTCTTCACCCCTAAAATGGAGATCATAATAGTACCTCCTCATAGGCGTGTGGTGAGGATTAAATCAATCCATGTAAAGCCTTTACAATAGTGCCAGCACAAGTGAGCAGTGTATGTCTTTGCTGTTGTTAGGCAGTCATTTATTGGGCTCCTTCTGGATGCACAATAGCAATAGAGAGCAATTAAGACCCCACCATCCCTATCCATGAAACACTGCCAATGCAGTCGGGGATAGAAAAAAAGATGGCAATGTGGTGTGATGGTTCCTACACTAGGGATTAAGACCCTAGCCGGCTTGGCTCAGTGGTTAGAGCATCAGCCCACGGACTGAAGGGTCCCAGGTTCGATTCCAGTCAAGGGAACATGCCCAAGTTGTGGGCTCGATCCCCAGTAGGGGGTGTGCAGGAGGCAGCTGATCAATGATTCTCTCTCATCACTGATTTTTCTCCCTCTCCCTCTCTGAAATCAATAAAAATTTTTTTTTTTAAAAGACCAAGAGACTTAATCTCATTAGGAAATGCAAAAGTCATTCAATGATTACATATTGACTTCCTGCTAGCCTGGGATTTCCTTAAGGGTGAGCATTGCATCTGTTCCACCACTGTCTTTCCAGCACCTAGCATGTGACCTGGCACATTATGGGTCCCAAGAAAGGGAGTGGCCTATACAGAAGTGCCAAGTGAACTAAACACAGGAGCAAATAACAAAAGTGCCTAAAATATGCCAGGTACTACTCTAAGATCTGGGAGACACAGGTTCTCTTTCCC